GTGATTTTCCTGTGAATCAAAAGAGGGAAGGCTGCTTAGACAGATTTTGATAAAATTTTGATATTATCATGGCCAATAATGATGTACAGAAACATTTAATGAGAAAGACACCCCCTCCCAGGAATTATTTTTAGATGTCCAGTTTCCTAATATTGAGCTATAAATTTCAGAACATAGATTAATTTTGTTTCAATTTTTTTTCTGATAAAATATCTATACTCTGACTGAGACATGAGTCTACTTTATTCTATGTTTATAAATCAAAACATTAGGACATTAATACAACTGTGTTATTTCTTCTCCGGTAACTGTCAATTCTTAGTAAGAATACAAAACCACTTTTATTTTATACTGGTACAATTATAATTATTGTGTTTCACTGCTTTGAGCTTTGCATTAAAATCCATCCTCCAGAAATCAGTGTTCAAATGTGAGTGAAAACAGATAAAATTCCCCAGAAAGAAATGCAGATAGCATAGGATCTGACAACTTTAAAATAAAACTCCCCGCATTTTCTATTCTAGTCTCTTATTACTTAACTGAACTCTCAGAATGTTTTACTGGCAATAAGTGGAACAAAGCAGGAACAATAGCCACAAAAACAAAAAACAAGTGTCCAAAGCAAGCTTATTCTTTATAACCTTAAGCCTCATTGTCCCTTCAAATGACACTTAATTCTGACTTATTAATGTGTGGGTATTTGTTTGCTATTCAGTGAAATTCAGTTTTTAGAAATCTGTGGGACCAGAATCTTTTTATTTGGGAGTATGCCCTTTGTGTTATGTTTAGATGGGTGCAAAATTATACAATTTTCTCTGACCACAGACCACAGGATCATTATTAGCATATACTCAAATGTTTATTCAAGAAGAAGTCCAGTATGTTATTGCCTCAAGTAACAGAATATATAATTTAAGTGTCAGAAAGATTGAGAAACTTATCCTAGCAGGCAGGAGGGGAATTTCAGTGCTGTTTACTTTTTTCTCTGCCTTCTTCAGCACAGCTGTGTTTCTCTTCATAATTATAAAATAGCAAAAACGTTCCCAGCAACATATGCAGACCTGGCCATTCCAATGCCAAAGAGAAATAACCTTTCCTTCTTTGGGTCTCCTTTTATTAAGGGGTAACTTCCCCAAACCCACTGCAAACTGCCATCAGAACTCACTGGTGAGGATTCGGTCATATGCCCTTGCCTAGCTGTAAGGGAGGCCAGGAAAAGAAGTTAAGGCATTTTTCATCTTTACAAAGGTACTTTGGTTCTGCCAACAAGGAATAAGAGGTTAGATGGAAGATGGTTTAAATGTGTCAAATAATGTAAGGTTGAACAATGTATATAATTGCCCGTTAAAGCAATGAATGTTATCAAGCATAGTACTCTGTCCTAAATGTAGACAGTAATTTATTTTAATGCTGCTGTACTTGTTTTGATTTCACTGGCCTTTAGGACAATTTCATGCATATTAGCAAAGACTATGAACATTTTAGAAGACTCCAGGAAGAGAAACAGAAACTTTGAGAATTTACTGTTGTTTTCAAATAACTTCCTGTACCATTTATAAAGCTATTGTCTCTCAACCTTAAACCCATCTAATAGTCCCTGGTTGTCTTCATAAGCAAATAGGGAAGGAGGGCTTTAAAGTTTGACATTGTGCTTTATGACAGAGGAGGATATGGCGACCCTCTCAGGAAGTCCAGATTAACCTAGACCGTTTAATTTGGGACTACCTGAAATTCATCGCTAGAAGATGGAATACTCAACAACGCTGAAGGATCTACCCTCAAAGACTGAATGAACTCAAAGCTCAAAGGGGGAAACATCTTTCAAAATCACTTTAAAAGCTTTTAAAAATATATTTAAAGCTAAAAAGCAGAAGGAGCAAGATTACAGCCAAATACTGTGAAACATTTGGAGCAAGAATTGGAATGAAGTGGGGAGGAAGAGAAGGATTGCAAGTTTGTTACTTAAGAGGCATAATTATACCTGAAACATATTTCCTGAGAACTTTTCAATCTTTTAAGTTTTCGGCTTCTGTGCTTTCAAAAACTGGCCTAGATACAGTCTTGCAAGTGTGTGATGCAGAGGAAATGTGAGACGTATCACTGATTACTCTGAGTCCCCAACTGTCCCATTTTTTATAGCTATCTATAGCTATGTAGTTGACAATAAACTATTTCATAAATGTCAGCCACTGCTCACAGTCTTAAATTGCTTCCTTTCCACCTGTGAAACATGTAGGGAGATGACTTTAGTTTTTTTCCTCTAAGTTCATTCTTAGTTACAGCAATCAGAGAAAATTTGATTTTTATAAAATTTCTTTCCAAGAATGTTTGACTTGAATGTGGCAATCTACTTCCTAAATGGTAGCTTTGCAGATCTCTGCGAGTAGATATAAAAAAAACAAATTTTTTGTTTTAAATTTAGGATTAGTGGTAGGCTTATCGATCCATTTTTGCAGACATGGAATAGAGTTCCAGGAACTCTAGTCCTCTGTTGCTTATGGGGCACCCCTTCTGAGCAGCCCTGTTGGAGACCCTTTTATTTTTATTGACATAACTCCAACAGGTAGAAAAGTCTGATGGTGAAGCATCCATTTCTCATTCACTGAATGAGAATAGAGTTCTCCCAGTCAGCTACCTAAGGTTTCAATAAATTGAAGCCTGCCCACTGTGGTAAACCAAAAGAATCAAGAGCTGACCTAAGTGGATGGAGGCAACCAGAAAGAACATACTGCAGAATGAGTTTTGAATGACAGGACAGGAATTAAATGATAATAAGGGAACAGAAAGATGTCCCATGAGTGCAAGCAAGTAATATGGCTTTGTTTTCTAAGAGTAGAAAAATGAGAGTGTGTATTTGTGTCATAATTTAGAAAGACAAGATACAGAATACTGCCTATTTCTGGATATTATGATAAATTTTCATTTCTTTGTTCAGTAAATATTTATTGAATACCTACTATTGTCCATTTTTGATTTTAGTACTTAGTTGGGGAGGAGGTATATGTATTTAAATTTACCACATCTAATACATCTTTCAATGAATACGCTGAGTCTGCAGCTGTTTATCTTCTTTTCCCGCTCTTTTGAACATTGCTGACCTACACCTTATCTCATTTAGTCTTTGCCACAACTCTTTGAGGCTGAATGCTATGCCTATTTTATATGAGGAAACTGAGGCTTACAGACGGTTAGTAGTATTAGGACCCAAGCTCGCATTATCTTGAAATTGAACCCAGCTCTGTGTGATTCCCAAAGTATTCTTAACTCCTATATCTGTTGCCTGCCTGATTTGGGTGGAGTGATAGTGGGCAGTTACTGGTAAGTTTACTTGCATAGGTGTAATGAGAAATGAAGCTTTTAAATGGGTACTGAAGAAAGGCATAAAACTGCCATTATTGAACCCAGAAGTGACAAAGTGAAAGCAATTATTGCAAAAGAGGATTTTAGGTTTACATACTTATGGATAGGAATTGGAAGCAACTAGAAGCATTAAAAAAAAAAAGTGTGCCAGAAACAATCATAACATGACAGGGAGCAGGATTAGGTTCATGGATATTTGAAGGAAGATTCAATCCAAGTTGGGAAGGTGGATGTAAGGAGAGAGGTCATGGAAGAGTTAAAAATAATATAGGATCAGTTCCCAAGTTGGCAAGTTTAAGAAACCAGGGATGGCAAATAGACTGTGTTTGATGAAAAATCCGGAATGGAGTGGTTGTTTTGGGTATGATGAGCAGATGAATTTGATATTCAATAATCATATAATGAGGAGTTGCACTGTGTATTTCAAGCAAAATTCCATGGCATCCTCTGCACCTTTTATCCAATTCAAACTTGCACCACAGCAAAAAGGCCAAACACTTTTGTAGGATGGATTAATTTGGAAAGACTGGGTGATAATGCCAATTGAACATGGTGTTGGTAACTCCATAATGGATTTGGTTAGAGGGCAGATCTGCTACTTCCAGCAGTCCTATGCAAAGACTGAAGGCTGTTTTTTCCTCTTCATCTTTGATACATAAGCTATAAATCAGGGTCCTTTCTTCCTTCCTCCTTCCCTCTTTCCCTCGCTCTCTGCCTCCCTGCCTCCTTCCTTTCCTTCCTTCCTGTTTTGGTTGTGGGTAAAATTCACAGGATGCGCTTTTTGTGTCTCTGTGCTTGATTTCTCAAGATACTGAGTAATAATTTTAGTGAGGTAACTAACTTTGAATAATAGAAAATATCTTCATTCTGGGCATGTTTTATAGATTTGTCTCCTTAGCTGATCTTAATAAATATCTCCATTTAGGTCCCAAACTGTTTGCTCAGAGAATAATTTGTTCTGGCTTTACATTCAATAAATGAATCATCAAAGTGTCCCAGCACATATTAGATGCCATTAAATATATGGGAAAGTTTTCACTAGTGGGCTTTTGTCTAGGCAAATATTTCCTATTAATTTAGTCCAAACAAGCTTCTCAAAATTATACTTCTTTGTATGTGTCTGTGCATGTTTCTGTCATCAACTTACAAAACTTTATTCCAGTTTAAAATATTAACTCATAGTTCTTCCTTTAAAAAAATAAAATTGTCAGAATTTTTCCTTCTAATTCACTCATTTCTTGTCTTGAAAGAAAAATAAAAAATCTCTATGCTCCAAGGTCTCTATGCTCCAAGGTCTCCAGCCTTCCTCTACTGCCCTTTGCAACAATAAAAACAATATACAACGCAAGCTCTGTAGAGAAAGAGAAAAGAACAACTATAGGCACCCAGTCAGGTTTGATTTCATGATGCAGAATGGACAATATTTTAACAAACTGATGGCATCACACAGGAGGCCTGCAGCTTTCCGAGTTGGCGTAGTTAATAGGAAATCTGTTTCCCCAGCATATTTTCTGATTAATACTTCATACTGGTTTGCTGTTAATGTTACAGCTTGTTGCAGATACAGCATTTCTTAAATGAGATTCTGTAAAAGGAAGAAATGACCAAGAGTGACACTAGTACCATCACTTCATACTTACAGCAACTGCCTCCAGGATTTGTTTCACGGCATCTGCGGCATCTCGTTCACTGTAATATCCCTTCTCCACGATCCTAAAAAATCATGAAATCCTTCTTAGACACATGATTTTTGCTGAGCAGATGTTAAAAAAAGTGAGTTAACATTAAGGAAAATGCATGTAAACACTTGCAACAGGCTACCTTAGCACCAAGGGAAAGATTTCCACAAATGGAGCCCCAGAAATATTTTGGTTTATTTAGGAAAGTGAACATTTCTTTTGCCTACACTTGAACTGTCCATCCTATTTGAGAATAAAATATTCTTTCTTTTTAAACTTTGTATTGCAAGTCACTTTGAAACATACACCAAGTAGATGATATACCATAAACTTCCCATGTAATTGTCACACAGCTTCAATAATTATTCATTCATGGCCAATGTTGTCTTACTAGCCAATTAGCTGCTTCCCTTCTTTATTATTTTGAAGCAAATATCAGACATCATACAATCTTTTTTGTCAATATTAAAGGAAGTATCTCTAAAAGATAAAGGATCTTTCAAAAATCATAACTACAATGTCATTATCATACTTATCATGTACAATTCCTTAATATCATCAAGTATACACTGTCTCTAATTTTCAGTTCTCTTGAACATCTTAAAGTTTGTTTGTTTGAGTCAGTATCCAAATAAGGTCCACACAGTTTGATGGGTTGATGTGTCTCTTACTCTTTTTTCACTCCTTTCTCTCTGTCTTCCTTCATTTGCTTTTCTTTTCCAAATAAATGACCTGCTCTTTTTGCATGGAGGTGGGAAAGGAATTTTTCTTTCAAGTTAAAGGCTTTTTTTTTTTTTAATTTCAGGAAGGTTTTCCTGAATAAAAATGCTTTGTGTTTGTTTCCTTTCATTGCTCTGGATTTCTTCTTGGGGTGTGCCATTACACACAAATGAGTTTTTCTACTTTTGCTTTTTAGTATTCTTTTATGATTTTCTTAATTTTGTTTTGCCATATCAAGAGATTCACCTATTTTGTGGGCATATCGTCCTGGCATGCTTTCACTGCCTGAAGGAACCTTACTCTGCTCTTTATTTTCTGTGCCCTATAATCATTTTGTATTGGGATTAAATGAGACACTACCCTGTTGCTGTTTGTTTTTAAGCCAAATTGATTTTGTAGACCTTTTGACAGAGTGATGGGTCAGGATATCTTCTCCAGTTTCATGGCTTTTGACTTTCTGGTTATTTTCATGATGCATTAAAAAATATGAACTTGTACTTTCTGAGATTTCTTCTCCTCTATCTGGAACTTCATTCCCTTGAATCTATGCATCTCTACTATGATTACTGGAGTCTCTTCCTAGGAGGTTCTCCTAAACATGGGGTATTATCCTGAAAGGGCTTCGGATATTAGCTTCAGGAGCTCACAGGCCCTTGACTGCAGGAGTCCCTCAGACCTCACTGTGGGTGCAGCCCTTGCACTTCTCAGAAGTTTGGATGGCAAAAAGCTCTCCTGGTTTCGCCTGTTCTTGTACTGACCCATCCTACTTGCCAGTGGTGTGAAGGCTTTGGAGATATGAGGGTTCTCCTATTCCAAAGTCTAGCCCAGGTCCTCCCACTTCCTTTGTGTCCTTTCACCAGATGCTAACACCACAGGGCTCTTGCAATTGCCATTCATTTGTCTCCAGTCGCTAGTATTCTAGGCTTCGAGGAGACACCCTGTTACCTGGTTTTGTTCTAGATGCTGTCTGTGAGCTTCTGGGTTTTCTATCCTAGTTTCTCAGTCTACTCTTATGGTGATATTTGGGAAGGCTCAAAAACTACTTTGTTGCCATGTCTATCTTCCCTGAATTTCAAGAGGAAACACATTTTTTATAACACTGTAGACTACCAACTTGAAGAAGATGTTTTTAGCAGACAAAAAGTTTGTGGTAAAGGCATGTCTGAAAAAGATCAATTCAAAACATAAAAGAGACAAAACTTTAACAGTTTTTGTAATTTTGTGTTGAAATTTTTCTTAAGCTGTTAATACCTTAGTAGCACAGTCATCTTTCAGAAAGTATCTTCCATTTTTTTTAATGTTGTGGCAAGAAGTTGTAAGTTCTCAAAATAGCTGGTGTTAAAAGTTGTATTTAAAATCTATAAAATATTTCCAAAATAAGGGATGGGAGATGAGGAAAAGTGGAACAGAGCAGATATGACAAAAATAAAAATAGGTATTAGAGGAAAATATCTCAATGAACATAATTATCAAGATGCCAAAAAACAATATTGATACAGAAATTTCAATTATTTTCTTCATTCAGTTATTTAAAACATTGTCAAGAAACACAAATTCATCAACTTTTCAGACTGCAAAAGATAGAATATCCCTCCTCACTTCTTTATTTATTGGATACCAGTTATGCTCCAGGGCCATATAAAATGTGAAAATAGATTACAGCATTTAGGGTATTATTACTAATTGGCTCTTGAAACTCAACTTTCACATGATATTTCCTTAACAGAGCACACATTTTCCCAGTTCATGATTCAGTTACACAGTCTACTTACAAAAATTTTAATTGAAATAATTTCTTGAACCATTCTTTCTGAGCATTTTAATATTAGGTATGAGAGAAGGGGAAAAGAAAGAATACTGTGTCACAGTAAGTTGGGAACTTTGGCTACATTACATCATCCTCTGCATTTCACTCTAAATACGGATTTTGTGGTATATGCATCAGCCTAAACAAATGTAATTAGTGTCTCTGTTTGACACCTGCAGCTTGAGCATCTTGGCTTTCTATGGTCCTGTTAAAGAAGAGGAGTTATTACAAAGATGATGGGAAAGAATGGTTGATATTTTCTTTCCATCCCCCATTGTCCCTGGAGGAGGATAAAATCAATTATCTCCTGGCCTGCAAAAAGCAGGACAGATTTTCTCCACAGTCATTCACCAAGGCTAGAGCTTTAATGCAACTGCTCTGTGGTCTCCCTTAAGGGGGTGCTACTCATAGCACAGCCTTTGCAAGCAGTACTCCTTGGGGTTACATAGAGCCAACTTGTGCAACCATGTGCAGAGTCCCTGATGAGAAATCCTCTTTGTTTGTTAAATGCACATGAATTCTTAGGGGCACCCCCACCCCATGGAGAGGCAATTCCTCTCTATATTTTGGTTCATTATAAAGTCTCAAGCTTTGGTCTAAATTTGATGTTTATGCATTTTCACTTGGGTATAATTTAGGGTTAAGTGCCTGTGTTCAGAATTCGTCCCTGTGTGAATGTCTAGGGACTCGCCTGGATAGGAGTAGGTTTTCTTGTGAGCTGTGTTCAGGTAGCATGGAAGGAAGGGAAGTAGGTATAAGAAGAACAGTTCATGGACATTTCAGTGATTGTCCACAATATATGTTAAATTAATAAAATATTTCATCTAATTAATGGAGAGAATGCATTCTAACAGATATCTCCATTCATTCATTTATTCAATAAATATTATGGAGTGACTATAATGTGATGGGCACTCAGTAGTGACCAGACATGGCCTGTGCACCCAGGGAGTTTCTCTTGGTATAAACAGACACAATCAACGTAGTATGCTAAATACGGTGACAGAGTCATTAGAGAATGACTTGAGATCTCCTAGAAGGGCAGGTAAGCTATTCTGGAGGCTGTGCAGGGTGGGAGAAGGATCACCACAGGCAGCTGTGTCTCAGCTCAGACCTGAAGGGTGTCTGGAAGCTGCAGGGAGGGTGACAGCTGAGGGCGGGACAGGTGTAGGGGAGAGCACCGGACTGGGGAATAGTGAGACTGTTCTAAATAGAAGGACTGTGACTATAGAAAGACTTAAGAGTATGAGCATGCGTTAGTGGTATTTAACCAGTGTTTTCTAATTGTGTGATGAGAGCCAGGCATTAGCTGGATATGTAAATAACAAGATTTGAGTCCTGCCTCAGGATGACCGCAGATAATAGAGAACTTATTAACCAGAATATCACCATAGATGTCATACATGTTATACTCAGACGTGTACAGCCAAGAGATTCATTGATTCTGTTGTCAGAAGTCTCTGGAGTAGACATGTTGCAGGGGAGCACAAATGCAGGCACCTCCCCACCTTATCTCAGCGTGAATGCAGCACACCATAGTTTGACCTTCCCGTCAGAGCTCAACCGCTTCTCTTTCACACTCCTTCTGCTAAAGGGAATTTTGCTCCCAGTTGATTTGTTCATCAGAGTGTCACAGAGTTAGGTTTCTGAAACCCAGACACTGAATTTTAAATATTTTATGAGTTGAACTACCACCCAGACCACCCATGGCTGACTAGAAATATCAATAGCAGTGAACTTCTCAAGTTGCAAATGCAGGTTTACAACTTAAAACTAAGATCGTAAGCTAAGACATTAGTGACCAAACAAAGGAAAATGAAGTCTTAACAACCTTTTTTCCTCCATTTAGGTAGCATGACTACACTTGATATGTTTGTCCAGCACCTTCTGCAGGGTATTGTGGCAAAATTCTCAGTCTTCTCACTAGATTGTTGCTTTGATCACTCACAGAACTGAGCTCCAAGCCTTGCTCATCACAGGCAGTCAATAAAATATTTGTGGAATCAATACTAATTGCCAAGTGAAGGGATGCCAGAAAAATTTCAGATAATGGACATTTGGATGCCTCCTTTGCTTATGTTCTTGCACATGGTGAATAAAAGCACCAGACTGGGAAGTGATGCTCTTCACAAATACATTGGCCCTGGGTGCAGAGGGAGAACAGCTACACAGATGCTTCCCAGAGCAAAATGCAAGTGGTGGAAAGGTTATTTCTGGTCTTAGGAACCTCAGGGTTACATAGTTTCTACATGTTATTTTAATAACATGAATCTTTCTAGGAACTTATTTTGAAAGTGATTCAATTCAGCAAATAGAGTACTTGTTTCATGAAGCAACACGTAACAATTCCTACCTAAAATATAGCAAGAATTCAGATAAAAAATTGCCAATGAAATTGGCCATGCATGTACAGTTATACTTTATGCAAAATATACTAATGACTTCAACTTTTAGAAGCAATGAAATATTCAATCATTATAGAGGTTTTACCACTGTAAAAATAGGCT